CCACCACACCCGTAAGGGGAAGCCTGTGGGTCATCCTCGAGTTCCAGACGAGGACACCGCAGCTCTGGGACGTCAGAGCCCTTCCTGAGGCGGGACAGGGCAGAGGAAGACTCGGGGCAGGGGCAGGGCAGGGGGGTGGCAGGAAGGGGTCCCCCAGCCCCCTCACCGACCTGTCCCCCGCACCAGCTGTCCATGAAGCAGCATCTGGAGTCACTGTTCGACAACAACTCGTGGGCGCTGATGACCCGGAACTCATCCCCGCCCTGGCCTGAGGAGCTCGACCCCCAGAACCTGTGGTTCGAGTGGTACCACCCACGGTTCACCATCTTTGGGACCCTTGCCTTCTTCCTGGTTATGAAGGTGGGTGCCAGGGGGCCCCCAGGGGAGCGCACACAGTGGAGACCAGCCTGGGAGGGGGATGCTTGTCCGTGGCCTGGGCCTCTTCCGCCCGGCCCGCCTGATCTGACTCCCGCCAGCTGTGCAACCCTGGCCAAGTTGCTTCAGTTCTCTGAGCCTCGGTTGCCTCGTCTCTTAAAACGGTCGCTGTGTCGGCCTCGGAGGGAAGGTTGAGAAGGAAGAGAGGAAAGCCCTCGGCACGGTGCCAGGCACACAGTAGGCACTTTGTCAGGACGGGTTTCCTGCCCTCAGTCAGCGCCTTCCTGGTCAACAGCAGACACCGGCAATGGGGGCGCGTGCCCGCGCGACCCCCTTCCCCCCGGGACACTGCCCTGTCCCCCCATCTATTCCCTCTTCTCGCCCACTCCTGTCCGGTTGCCCCTAACCTCTGCCCTGCTGGGTTCCCGCCGCCCACAGTTCTGGATGCTGATTCTGGCCACCACAATCCCCATGCCTGCCGGCTACTTCATGCCCATATTCATCCTCGGTGAGTCTGGGGTTCTGAGGGTCTGAGAGGTTCAGGGTTACTGAGGCAGGGCTGTGGCTCTTGGCCCCTCCCCTCCCTCCTCCGAGGGTACCGAGGTTGGTCCCCAGGAACGGAGGGCTGTGGGAGCCGGGTCAGCCTGGCTCCCCCTCCCCCTGCTGTCTGTGGCCAGGAGCTGCCATCGGGCGCCTCATCGGGGAGGCCCTGGCTGTTGCCTTCCCTGAGGGCATCGTGGCCGGAGGGGTCACCAACCCCATTATGCCTGGAGGGTACGCCCTGGCAGGTGAGTGCGCTGAGTCCCCCCTGGGCGGGGAGACATGACGGACCTGGGCTGGACCTGGGGGGTCAGCCGGTGGTTCTGCGGGGCATGGGGTGGTCACTGCGCCTCCCCGTGAGCCCCCTCCCTGAGCCCCCGTGACTCTCTCTGGCTCCCGTCTTGTCCCTGGTGCCCCACACTCTCCCTTACCACGCTCCCCCTCACCGAGCCCAGCCATCACGGCACCTCCAGCGTGTGGCCTCTGGACAGCCGCCGTCTAGCACGTGGCCTTAGCCCCGGGTGGCTCTGCGCTCTGCACGAGGCTGGCCCCTGGCCTGAGCCGCCCCGCCCTGGGTCCGCCCCCTGCAGGGGCTGCGGCCTTCTCAGGGGCTGTGACCCACACCATCTCCACGGCGCTGCTGGCCTTCGAGCTGACCGGCCAGATAGTGCATGCGTTGCCGGTGTTGATGGCCGTGCTGGCAGCGAACGCCATCGCCCAGAGCTTCCAGCCTTCCTTCTATGACGGCACCATCATTGTCAAGAAGCTGCCATACCTCCCGTGGATCCGAGGTCGGAAAATCAGGTGAGAGGTGCCCACTTTGGGCTGGTTGATGGGGGTGATGGGTCTGGGTGGGCTGGGGTGAGGCCCCACCTCCAAAAAAAAAAAAACACAAAACCCTCACTGTGGCTGACCTTGGACCTGGGTGGTATGGAAGAGGCCAACACACAGCCACCTCGTCCCCACTCTCTCCAGCTCCCTGCATGACCTTGGGCAAGTCCTTGGCCTCCTGGGCCTCTGCGTCTCATTAGCCATCAGTCTGTCCTCATGACGGTAGGACAGAGATTGCCGATTTGCTGGAAACTGGCGCTCAGAGAGATGCCTTGTCTTGCTCGCGTCCCACAGAGAATCGGTGCCAGATCTGGGAGGTCCCCTCCTCTCTCCCACTCCTGCTCTGCTGTCCTGACTGGGACACAGGGGGCTGGAATCAGGCTTTGAGGTCCTCACTTGGCAGCCTCTGTTCCCAGAGAAGCAGGACTGAGAGTCTCTGAGACCCAAGGCCCAGCTCCCAACACGTGCAAGCTGCCACCTTGCTCCGGACCTCAGTTTCTCCATCTGTAAAACGGGGGTGGCTACTCCAGTGATTTTCAAACTTGAAAGCCTTTTTTTCATTTTGCCGTAAAACTTCCCTTCAAATGAAATTTTTCAGGGAAGGTTTCCGAGTAAAACAAACCAAAGTGGAGACAGTCTGGGCGGGGAGACAGGGGTTTGAGAGCTAGGAATCCAGAGTCAGGCCGTAGGTGAGCCGGTCCCCAAGTTCCTCCCCACCTTGGGGTTCTGCCAAGTTCCTCCCCACCCTAGTTGCTTATGCTAGGAATGTCTCAGCACCTGCCCACAGCCAAGAACCAGGTACCCCTGCCTCGTCCTGGGGTCTGGATATCCTGCCGCTCCAGGACCTGAAGGGAGCGCCCTTCCGCCTTCAGCTCTCACCGTGTGACTGTGGAGCACTTCATGAACGCTACCATCACCACGGTGGCCAAGGACACACCGCTGGAGGAAGTGGTCAAGGTCGTGACCTCCACGGACATGGCCAAGTACCTCCTGGTGGAAAGCACAGGTGCCCGGCAGGAGGGGGGGAGCGCGGGTGGGGAGGGGACATTCCCTCGACCTTTCTCTTCAGCCTTGGGGGCTCAGGTCCAGGAAAGGGAAAGCGGGGCATGGCACCTGTCAGGCACCTGACTCCGAATCTTCTCTCTACAACTGTGTGACCTCAGGTGGGTCACTTCACCTCTTTGAGCCTCGGTTTCCTCACTGGTAAAATGGAGATAGCAACCGCCCTACTTGGGGTGGTTGACATGTTTAAATGAGAGACGAGAGGGGGCTTGTAAGGCACTCTGTGGATACCTTTAGGAATTTTAGAAACCAGTCCTCGTGTGCTTGGGAGTGGGGGTAAATGGATGGGAACACTACCAGGGTCTCCCCTTCAAGCATTCCCTGGCTTAGTCACCTCTCTTGAAACCCCGTTGCCATGAGAAAGATCTCTTTGGAGAAAAATGGATGGGCACCTTTGTTAAAAGACACACAAGCTGAATCTTGGGGAAGGATCTAGCTAGAGCATCATTTCCCACTGGGACAAGTACGGTAAGAGTGGGAAAGACTTGCCGGGGGGAGGCAGCTATGTCCACTCGGGCCACCGCCAGCCCATATGTGCAAACAAGGCAAGGTACACACTTGGCAAGCATAGCACAGCTGGACTTTGACGCCCACCCATCCTTTCAGCAGGTGCCTTGTTCAGGAAGCAACCTGCACAACTGTATGGGTCACCCCCATACCCACCCCAAGAGACCATAAAGTCATTCATGAGCAACAGAAGCCTGGGCAAACCCCTTAAGCTCTAAGAATTGCAGTTTCCCTACCTGGAAAATAGGGACCAATGCAATATGGAGTTGTCGGAGGTTCTTACCCCAAACGCCAGGCGCTCTCCCCACTCAAACTGGGATACTTTTAACATCCCACAGAATACACCAAATACCCCGTTTGAAAATACTTGCATATGTCTGACTCCCCTAAGAGGCTTCACCTCCTGGAACAAAGACAGAACTGGCCTCCAAGACAAAGTCCACTTCTACCCCTAGAGCCACAGGAAGCAAAGAGCCCCCAGCCAGCACAGGTGCAGGTTGTGGGACCCTGGCGCTCACCTAAGACACAGCTTTAATTGTTATTGTTGCCGTTGCTGTTGTTTAAAGGGAGAGTATTTACCTATCTAGTTGTAAAGGTTTTTTGTTTTTTTTTTTTTTTGGTTGTAAAGTTTTTTTGTTTTTTGTTTTTCTGGTGGTAAAGTGTTTTTGTTTTTGCTTTTTCTAGCTGTAAAGTTTTAATTTTGCTTGACAAGAAGGAAGACTACCAGGACTGCCCCCTCAAACCTGTGCCCGCTCCAGTCATGGCCTGGAGTGAGGCTTGCCAAGCCCTCAGCACACGGTGCATTTCCTGTGGGAAATGAGGCGCAAAGCCCGGCCGTGATGCACAGATATCTTCACGCTAGTTCTCCCAAACCTGCTCTTGCCTTGAGGCCCCGCCACAGGGGCGGTCAGGGTGGGCAGGTAACCTCCCGGCCCCCTGGCAGCCTCACCCAGCTGCCCTCAACCACCAGGCCTCCACATCAAAAGCTGAGTGACCTTGGGCAAGACAATCAACCTCTCTGTGCCTCTGAGCCTCAGCTTCCTCTTCTGTAAAATGAATGGTAATAGTTCCTGACCCATAGGCTGCTGTAGGTTCCTGAGAGACACGAGAACACCCAGTACAGTTCTTGGCACATAGTCGGTGCCCAGCAAATGTAAGTTTCTCCTTCCTGATGTGGCTCTCTCCCTCTCCACTTGTGCAGAGTCCCAGATCCTGGTGGGCACCATGGAAAGGGCCCACCTGGTGCAGGCACTCCAGGCTGAGCCACCTTCCTGGGCTCCAGGACACCAGGTGAGTACAGGACGGGGAGTGGTCAGCAGGGTCGTGAGGGGAGGGGGCCTCTGGGAAAGGTGGTTCTAGGGGGCCGGCCTGGAGGAAGGGGTGGCTGGCCCAGGCCCCCCATGATTTTTCCACCATCGCCAGCAGTGTCTCCAGGACATCTTGGCTGGGGGCTGTCCCGTGGAGCCAGTGACCCTGCAGCTGTCTCCGGAGACCTCCCTGCACCAGGTAGTGGGAGACAGTGGGGAGGGTTGGGGCATGCGGGCATGTGGGCATGCGGGCAGACAAGGACTGTGGGGTAGAGGGAAAGAGCCCAAGAGGGGAACTTAGGCTTCAGTTTTCTTGGCACGCTCTGTCTCCTTCTCTTGGGTCTGCTTCCTCATCTGCGGAATGGACACAGCAGTCCTTGTCCTCTCCAGCCTTTATTCCTCGGATTCTTGGGATGACGCAAAGACTAAGGGAAGAGGGAGAGCTTGGGGGAACAGAAGCCTCTGGGTGGAGAGAGACAGTAGTTACAAATGTGTCTTTGCATAAAGGTACACATGGGTCTCGGTTTCAGCTGTACCATATTCTCCTCGTGTGATCTTGGGCACATTACTTAATCACTCTGAATGCTGATCCCCTCCCACCCTGCAAAACAGAGCCTGGCACATGGGGTTGGGGACCTGGCGGAGGCCTCAGTTCCTCTGTGCTGCTGGATGATCCTGGATCCCTTTAAATAAACCCGTCCTTTCCCTTGGTCCCTTATGCGGACTCTGGAGACCTCTGGTGGTCATGGTGGACATTGCAGGCCCGGGTCCTGTCTCCCACCCACCACTATGCACGCGGCCGCCCTACCCTTCCCAGGCTCAGAGACAGGCAGGTGGGCACCACTGGGACGGAGCCCTGACCAGGGCTCCACCTCAGCTCACAGCCCCCAGGCCAGGGCGAGATTGAAGCTAGAGGGGTGGGCTGAGCACATGTCCTCCAATGTTTCCTAACAACCCCTCCTCCAGGCACACAACCTCTTCGAGCTGCTGAACCTTCAGTCCCTCCCTGTGACGTCCCGGGGCAGAGCTGTAGGCTCCGTGTCTTGGGTGGAGGTACGAGGGTCCCAGGGGCGGAGCAAGGCAGAGGAGCCATGCTCTAGCAGGCTGGGGAGGCAAGGGGGGGGCACCAGTATCCTCCCATCTAAATTTAGAGGGGTCTCACTGGATTCTGATGAGCCTCACTTCTTGGCCCAGAGTGGCTGGCCGCTGTTTTGTGGCCAGTGGCCAGTCTTGCCACTCTCTGGACCTCAGTGGTTCCATCTGTGCAGTGGTGGGGGGCGGGGGGCACTGGCTTCAACGTTCACCCCAGAATCAACCCCGAGCAGAGTCAGGTAATACTGGAACCCCCACTCTTAGCCTCTTCTACATCCTCCCTCCCCCAACCCCTCTTTCTCTGTTCTAGTTGAAGAAAGCAATTTCCAGCCTGACAAACCCACCAGCCCCAAAGTGAGCCAGCCTGGCAAGACGAAACAGGGCGCCTCAGCTGCCCTGGTGAAGGAGGTTGGGCAGGGACCCTGCCTCTCTTCCCCCATCACGGCACACCTCCTGCCCGGCTCAACTGCTCAGTGTAGCGGGCAGCTCCGACCTAGCATCAAAGAGGTCCCCACGGTCACCATGGTCCATCCTGGGTGACGCAAGCACTATGTGCCTTAAGGGACAAGTTCCACCCTGGACAGAGCAGAAATGGAGACCGCAGAAAACCAGCGGACAGTGGGTGCTCATCGAAAAGTCACCAAATTTACAATGAAGACAGGGGTGTATGCGGTCACCAAGGGCAGCTACAGAGGCCCTCTGGGGGTTGTAGGACTCCCAACCAGAGGCTCCTGAGAAAAATAAAGCCGATTCCCAGAGCTGCAGACCCCCTCACCTCAGCTCCAAGGGCGTTGACGTACCTGTGCGGGCCCTGAGCGAGCTCTTGGGGGGCCCCCTGGTGGCCACCTGTGGGCATCGCAGGCCTGGGTTCCTGGCCTCCCACTGCTCCTAAATAAGCAGGAGAGCAGGTCCCTCACCAGGTCTTATGACGCTTGTCCTCACGAATAAGAAGAACCCTGTGGTCCAGCTACTCTCACCCCAGCCCCAGCTTCCTCCTTGGCTGAGCCTGGGCTGATGAAGCAGCGTCCCTGGGTGTGGCTCCTGTGTGCTCCGCAGAATCTTGGGCATCTCCCGTGGGGCCTCTCCAGGCTGGCTGGCAGTGGGTGAACCACCTGTTGGGGGGGGGGAGGGGCAGGGCATAGGGCCCCCCCCGGAGTCCCTCTAAAACCCCCTTATCCCAGGGGCCCAAGGACACACCTTCCCCCAGAGACCAGGCCAAGTTCATTGGGTGAATCCACCACTTTAATGTCTGCAGAGAACCTTCCAGGGTGCAGGGAAGGGGGTAGGGGCACCAGGGAGCAGGTTCAGAGAGTGAAGGATGAACAGACCCTCCAGAGACAGAGATTCTCAAGAAGGGAGCTGAGGAACAGACACTTAGCTACCAGAGAGGCTGTCCCACCTCTGAGGGAGGGGGGCACGAACACAGAGGGAGGGGGAAGGACTGAACCCCGGGGTTAGGGCAGGGGCCCCAGGTCCCACTCCGAGTGGGTTTCCTAGGCCCTTCTGCGTCTGCCTGGGGGCCCAGCTGCAGGGTCCTCTGGGCAGCTTGCCCTGGTGTCTGCTGAGAGTCCTTGAGCCCACTGATGACAGAAACCCTGCGGGGGGAAGGTGCCCACCTGAGCCAAGTAAAGAAGGGAGAAGGGGGATTATGGCTCCCACTGCTGGGGCAGGTCCACGGAGGCACAGAGTGGTCCACAAGGAGTGCTGACCCCCCCCATCCCTTCTGCACCCACCCTCTGCCTGCCCTGAGGGGTCAAGAGTCGCCCAGCCCGGACCCCGACGTCCTGATATGCCCGGGCTGCCCCCCAGGCAAGGTCACAGTATGAGGAGGCTCTGAGCCATGTAGCCCCCAACTCAGTTGTAGAACACCTCGTCCTCCTCCTCCGAGAGGGAGATGCTGTCCACCGAGGGGAGGGAGCCCTGCAGGTGGGCCCCACCCTCAGGCCCCGGGCCCCTAGGCAGCCGCCTCCGATGCTGCTGTTCAGGGCTGGGGGGCTGGGGGTCGGCAGCTGTGATGGGGGGCTCATCGGGTGAGGGCCAGCCATCGGGGGAGAGGCCAGGGGAAGAGAAGGCCAGAAGACTGTCATCCTGGGAGGGGCCGCTCAGAAGACTGTCCTGAAGGTAGAGGTTCTCTAGGTCTGGAAAACCAACAGGAGGGGGAGGAGGCATGAGGAATGGAGTCCCGGACCCCCTCCTCACCCTCTCCTGGTGTGTGAGGGAAGGTGAAGGCCAGTGTTTTGTCACTGCTGAGCTGTGTGACCTTGGGCAAGTCACTGAACCTCTCTGGGCCCCTGTTTCTCCCTGGGGGTTCCAGGGGTGGTGGAAAGAGTGGAGGAGTTAAAAGCAGGCTGTGCTGCCTGGACTCGAATCTGAATCCCGCACTCTGAAAATTGGGACAGTGTTCTTCCCCGGCCTCCGTTCCCTTCCCTCCCCTCGCTGTCAGAGGAAGGATTACATGAAGTAGCTGGTATGCAGGCTTCACCCAGGACCAAGCCCTGCTGAAGCAGTAACTGGGGGTGACCTGGGGTTCTAGAAGACTGGTTGGTTGTGCCAGGGATTAAGGTTCAGGTCCTGGCTCTGATGCCTCTAGCTGTGTAACCTAGGGCAAGTTTCCTGGTGCCTCGGTTTCCCTGAGACAATAACAGGACCTATTTCGTAGAGGTGTCGTGAGGATTAAGTGAGATAATACAATACGCACTTAACACAGTAATCACTTAATCCCCACGATGCATTGTTACTATTATTCTTCTCTCCTTTACCCTTAGAGCTCTCCTTGGGCAGTGAGCCGGGCAAGGATCCCCAGCCCCATTGGACAGATGCAGAAACCAAGGCTGAGGAGACGGGGGCGGGGGGTTGTCCGGGGTCACAGTGCATTTGGTGGCAGGGCAGGCACCCAGGCCCTGCTCTGCTCCGCCCGCCCCTCCCCAGCGCCGGCCCAGGAGGTACCCTGTAGCTGGACGACGTCCTGAGGGCTGTTCTCGGGGTGAAGCTCCTCATTGTCCAGCGAGGACCAGGCGCTCAGTGTGGCCTCTGTGATGGCAAACTGTTCGGCGACCCCTGGGGGAGGGGGAGGACAGCGGGACTCAGCTCAGCAGGGACAGGGCAGAAGATGGGGGCAGGGCCTCGGGGCCAGGCCGCATTGGCACTCTGCAGTGAGCTGGCTGTCCATCCAGGCCCCGGTGATCAGAGCGCCCACCTGATGCCCTGTCCACCCCCTGGCATTTTTTTTTGCCCTGCCTAGACACTGCCCAGGTGGTGACCCTCGGTCCCCTAAGGACCAGAGACCCTACGGTCCCGTCCCCATGCTCCCCCTCCCCCAACCTCTGACCTGCAGCAAAGCGGGCCTCCCGCAGCTCGTCTGGCAGGCAACAGTAATGCTCATCCTCAGCCGGGGATGGCTCCCAGCCTGACCGCTGGGCACGCCAGCCCTTCCACTCGATGAGGTGAGCCACGCGGCCACGCGCCATGGCCGTGGGCTTCGTGATGTGGTCCTTGATGCTCTGCACCACCCCTGGGGGCATGGAGGGCAGCTGGGTGACCGCTCTGACACAGAACCCAGCTCAGGGCCCTACCCCCGCTACCCCAGGCCCCCCAGTGCCTCAGGCCCACCCAATGACCTATGCCCTACAATCATTCATCGCTGTGTACTCACCCAGCGCCCCGCGTCCTCACAGCCTCATACCCACAAAGCCCTGTATCTATCTGTGCAAGTCCCCCTGCCCAGCCAATGCCCGTGCCCACTCTGTACCCCACGGGCCCCAAGCCCCAAGGCCCCCCACCTCACTTAGATGCTCCCCACTCATGTGGAGGTCCCATGCACTGCCCCCCCCCACCAGCATCCTGCTTTCAGGCAATATTCCCCTCCACTTGGTGCTTCCTCCCCAGACCTGCCACACCCCTCATTCCCTTTGACCAGGTTTAGACCCTTCTGCCCCAGAAGATCCACCCAAAGATCCACTCGAGATCCACCTGGTCCTCTCCCTTTATGCATTAATTAATAAGTGCTGAGAGAGCATCCCCTGTGCCAAGCCCAGTGTCAGCTCTGCTGAAGGGGAGACCTGAGTGGGGTGCCGTATACCAGGTAGGCTTCCTGGAAGAGGTGGACTGGGGTTTGAGCTTTATAGGTAGGTTGGTAGGTTTGTAGGTGCATTGGACAGAAGAAGGCAAGACTGGAGGCTATTTCAGAGATGAGATGAGAAGGAAGGCATGGAAGAATCTGGCATGATTCCAGGACTACCAGGGGTGAGACGTGGAGGCAACACTAAGACTGGAAGAGGTTGGAGAGCCCCTCGGGGGCTAGAGTAAGGACTCTGACATTTTCCTTCTAGCAATGGGGAGCCACAGCAGGGTAATGAGCAGGAGAGTGACAGGTTAGATCTGCTGTTTAGGAAGAGCATCCTAGTTAGGGAAGGGGCCAAGGGTGGAGATGAGGCTCTGTCAGATACCACTGAAGGGAAGCAAGAGACAGGACAGGGGCTGGGCAGTGTGGTGGGGGGGTGCGGGTGGCCTGAGGGGTTCTCAGGAGGAGACTGGCTGGATGTGGAAGTTGACAGAAAGGGCTGTCGGGCATGATTCAGCATCTCTCTGAACCAAGGCTGAGCACACAGTCACTGGGGTCTCAGAGCCAAGACGCAAGGAACAGCAATATTTAAGCAAGACGGGGTATCCACCAAGGAAACCAGAGCCATAAGACTGAGAAAATGGGGAGGACGGAGGCGAGGAAGAAGGCGGAGACCCCCTCCCCAAGCTAGATGTGTGGGCAACCGGCAAAGGTCTTTGCAGGAGGTGGTTCGAGAGGCCCCCGCAGGGCCCCTGCAGAGGGAAGGGGTTTCAGGTGGCAAAGCGTCCAGGCAAACGGAGGGAGGGGCCGTGAGGGCCGTGAGGGATTTAAGGAGACGTGAGCCTGAGGTACGTGGGACAGACCCGTGAGCAAAGAGGCTGGCCCGCTGAGAACGGCCCGGAAGGTGTGCTCTGGGCCACCTGCGCGGCAGACCCCGTGCTGGCCTGTGCGCCCACCTCCCCACTGCCACTGCCTCCCGCCTGCAGCCCTCCCCAGAGCCTGCCCTTGGCTGAGAGGAGCGGCCTCACCCAGAGCCGCCCCGGAGGCTGGAGAGCCCTCCCAGGGGCAACAAGGGACCAACGGGGGG